AGAATCTTCTCCATCACCTACTTTCTCTCTCCTGCCTACTGAATCAGAGCCCCAGAGGCGGGATGACAAGAATGGAATCTTCTCCAGTCCTCACCGGGGCCAGTGCCCAAGTGGCCCCGAGCTGAAGAGTACTGCACACCTTCTCACCCTGGCCGCCAAGCAGGGGCGGCATGGGCGGACCAAGGCTTGATGCTGTGAGGGTCAAAGGAAAGGATGGAGAAAAGACTTTGAAAACTGAAGTTCTAGATAAATAAACGTTGGCTGCTCTTTTCTCTCCCTCCTTGGGACTCCCATGGAGCTTCCTCTATGCCTCTCTATACTCACTTAGCAAATTCTACAATGGTATTTATTTGGTGGGGGGGGGGGGTCTTATGTCCCTTAATAGACTAGGAGTGGGGCAGCTAGGTGGCGCAGTGGATAGAGCACTGGCCCTGAAGTCAGGAGGACCTGAGTTCAAATCCGGCCTCAGACCAAACACTTGACATTTACTAGCTGTGTGACCCCAGGCAAGTCATTTAACCCCAACTGCCTTTAAAAAAAAAAAAGACTAGGAGTTCTAGGAGGGCACAGTCCTCATGCTAAAAAGGTGCTTGGGAAATGTTTGTTGAATGATTGGGGTACACATGTTTCCCCAGATGGACTAGAAACTCAAGGTGGGTAGGGATTATTCTCCTACCTTCCCAAACACACACACAGCAGAGCTAGACCTGCTGAGCAGCTACCTAGTGATGGAGAAGTGCATGGAAGTCAAAGGAGAGAAGAGAAGATACCAGAAGGGCTCTGGAGCCAAGGTACTGGGGTACGTGAGGAAGGAGGATGAAGCACAATTGCTCCCAAGAGTGACCTGCCTTAGACCCCCCAACAGTGCACAAATGGACCCTTTCTAGGGGTAAGGACAAACCAAAAGCAGCTCTTGCTGGACTCCTGCACAACCAATGAAGATGGAGGAAAAAAAAAAGGCGGATGCCCCCACCCCTGGGAGGGCTTCTGGCTGGTCACTGACAATGAGTTTCCTAGCATCGAGGACCTGCTCACCAACAGGCCTGAGCAGCTTCCCAGGAACAGAAAGAGGCAGTGGCCCTGCCTGATGGCCAAGAATTAGCCAACCACACAATTGTGCCTGTGGGTCAGCTAGAGGACTGCGGTGATGGTCATCCCTTGAGGTTCAGGGGACAGTCGGAGCTAACACTTAAGGTCTGGAAAGGTCCTTAGAGATCACCTCATTCAACCTGCTCGTCTTACAAACGAGGAACCCAAGGCCCAATGGCTCAAGCGCCAGGAACGGATTCAGAAAGACCTGAATGAGGCTCCTGTCCCATATGTGGCAGCACAGACATCGGGCAGGCTACTCAGCCTCTTCGTCAGTTCCCACCACTGTAAAATGGAAACAATACCAGGAGCATTTGCCTCAGGGTTGCGGTGTGCCTCCAATGGGATAATGTGTGGAAAGACCTTTGCAAATCTTAAAATGCTATATAAAACCAGTGACCATCATCATTATTGTCAAAATGATATATGAAGTCAGTTGGTATCTATTTTTTGTCCAAGGTCACCAAAGTCGTTGGTAACAGAGAATCAAGATTTGAACTCAACTCTTCTGGATTCTTTCCAGTAGACCACATTGAGGAACCAGCTGTTTGCACACTTGCCACCTCCCTCCCCAGGGAAAGTGCCTCCTCCTCCCACCTCGGTGGGATGCTTCTCTCTGCTGGGGCAGATTGTCACCACCTACATCCTACAGGGTAACGCCACATGGGGAAATCTCTCAATGAGATAGCCGCCACGGAAGTGGTGGCTCTGTGGCACTGCCAAGACAAGGGGCACTTACACCGGAGGAAACAACGCTTCCCCTCTGACCGCAAAGAGGCAGCTCAAACACGCCAGCTGCCCGGTCACCCAGCGACCACGGCGGGGCACAGGCTGCCGGCGTGGGGGGGACCCAGTGGGCAGCCAGGCCCCCAGCTGAATGCGCCCCCTCTGCCGGCAGCCCCCAGCTAACTGCCTCCTTGTCCGATGATCCCCCCCCAGCTGACGGCCCCTCCCCGGCCGTGGCCCCCCCAGCCGGCCGGGCCCCCCCCCCCCGGCCGTGGCCCCCCCAGCTGACTGGCCCCCCCTCCCACCGCCCGCTTCCACGAGGAGCTGCCAAAGGAAGAAAACACACCCGGAGCGCGGCGGAGAACGTCTGGGGGGACTGACCCACAACCAGAGAGGGGCCCGAGACCCTTCAGGGGGAGTGCCCGAGCCTCCGGCCCTGCGGAGCCCAGCCGCCGGGCACACGCCGCCCCCTCCCGAGCCTCGAGGGCCCAGCCCGGGGGCCCGACGGAAGGGAGGACCCCCCTCCCTCCACCAAGGTCAGGGTCGGCCTGGCCCCCGCCCCACCCCTTGTTATTGACCCCGGCCCGAGTCCGGCCCCCGCCCCCCACTCCAGATGGAGGGCTCCCCGCTCCCACCCAGGCTCCCCGAGGACAGGGGCCCTGGCGCCGCCGCCCCCTGCCAGCCCCCCCCCTCACCTGTCACCGGCGGCCGCTGCGGGTCCTCGGCGGGTGCCGGCTCCCGCCCATCGCCGTCCGACGGCGGCTCCTACGGCGGCTCCGCAGCTCCCGGGTGGCCGTGGATCGTCCTCCGCGACAGGCCCCAACGGCTCGCGCAGCAGCTACGGAGCGCGCGCCCCCCTCCCGCCGCACTCCTCCCCCCCCTCCCTCCCCAGCCCGCGGCTCGCCTCCCCCGCCCGCCGCCAGCCCCCTGGCCGGAAGGACCGCCCCCCGCTGCCACAAACAGGAACTGACGTAAGGGATGACGAGCGAAGCGCTCGGAAGAGGGAGGAGGGGAGAGGTGGGGCACTCCGGAAAGCTGGAAGCGCGCAGACTCCCAGCTGAAGCACTCTGGGAAGTCGTCAGGGTGGCGGCGCCGGCGCAGTTCCAGAAAGCGGGGGCGACGAGAAACGAAACCGGTGGGAGCCTACTACAGGCGTGTGGTCTCTTGAAGGGGTTGCGCAGGCGCGCAGGACCGAAAAAAGGAAGGGAAAAGTGTCACCACCTAAGTGAAGGGGCAGCGAGGTGCGCAGGCGCAGTTTGCCCCGGGAGTCGCGGCGCCCCAGGGACCACCTCCCAGCAGCCCCTGGGCTTGCGGGCCAGTTCCAGGACCTCGGCTCACACGCCAGCGCCAGAGATGCCTAGGAGGGTGTGGCCATGACGCACGTGGTACCGCCCCCTGGGGCTGTGGCCCGGCGGAGAGCCCTTCTCGGGAGGGGACAGTCAGCTGTAGCTAGACATTCTCGGGGGCCCTTTAGATATGACAAGGGCGGTCACAGGGGCCTCGGGCCCCAATGCGCCGGGTTTGGATCTGCTCTGGACGCTAGTGGGGGGCCCACGGGCCACCCTTCCCACCCATCACTGCGCTGCCCCCACGGGGTAAAAGCCCCTTCCTTAATCCCAGGCCATCTCATGGCGCCACGGCGCATCCTGCCAGGAGGTGGGTGTGCACTGGATCCGGTCAAACGGCCTGGTTCAATGTCATCTCTGACAGTTATCATCTGTAACCTGGTAAAGTCCTTTCCTGTCTCTGGACCTCAGTTTTGTAAATTGAGGGGGTTGGAGTCCAGGAAGGTCCCCTTCCACTCCACCAGAATCCCCCTCAAAGATGCCCTTGATTCTGCCAAGGGTGGCCACTTCCACTGCCCACCCAAAAGCTGCAGGACCAGCACCTTCGCCCGTCCCCAGGCTGCCAGACCCCCGCCTCAAGAATCCTCAAACCAAGGTCCAACAGAGACCAAAGTCTTGCACTCTAGTTCTTAGAATGCACCTTGGCTTCTCCCAAATGGTTCAGGAGAGGAAAAAAAAGGAAAGAGGCACCAGGAGGCGGCAGAAGAGCCTTGGCTGGCTGTAGCCCCGGCCAGCCCAAAACAAGCGGGAGGGAGACCACCCTTGAGGCTCCACCTCAGTCACCCTGGTGTGATATGGCCATCAGTCAAGGCTGGGTAACACACTGCCCAGAAATGCCCACCCCAATCGTTAACCAAGAAAACAAAACATTAGCCACAAGAGAAGAGGGGACGGCAGTGCTTGGTTTCCAGGGCTTCTAAGTTAGAGGTGACCCCAGCTTTATTAACCAAGGGTCACATCAGAGGTCTCCACTCCATTCCTGAAGCAAGTCCAGAAGGAATCCAGCTCACAGGCGGAGGATGTCATCTTCGGAGAAATCCCAGTTCTCCCCAATCCCTGCCTCCCCTTCCCCCCACCTCACCCCAGGCATTTCACTTTCAGTCTAAAAATAGAGTGAAGAACACTTCTCCTTGCCCATATGAGCAAAACAGTAGGGAAAAAAAAAACCACAAAAATATCTGAAAACCCGTTTCCTTTCCCCTCTGTGGCCTCTTATTATCGCATCTGTCGGCAGGCAGACAGGCCCAGGTGAAGCTCCTCTGGCCAGCAGGCACCAAGGTGGACAGCCCTCCCCGGCAGCACCTTGGCCTCCTAAGAGTTCCTAACAGCACGGCGCCATGGGCGGCGGGGAGGGCGCAGGGAGGGCGAGGATAGACGCACTTCAGGCAGAGGACAGCGGGCAGTCTGGCCTTCCCACCGGGGCAGAAAACAGAAGAGAAACGAAAAGTGTGAAGGAGGAAAACTGAAAGCAATCACCTAGAGCAAGCAGTAGAGAAGGAAGGGAGACAGCAGGGAAAGTGAGAGGCCCTCCCTCCTGGCTGTGGGGCAGGACGAGGGGGGGAGGGGTCTGAGGTGGGGGGATCTCTGCAAGGGACCCCAGAGTTGGTCTCTGAGCAGGTTCCATTCAGGTGGCTGTGTTGGAGAAGAGGGGCTGAGGGCAAAGGCCTGTCCATCTATGCCATAGGGCACTCTCACGTTTACCTGGGGGCCAGGTAAAAGCCAGTGGGGAAGGGGCATCCCCTTCCCTGCAAGGAACCCCGAGAACAGCAGAAAGGGGGAAGGATGTCACAGAGGGAAAATGAGAAAAGGGGAGAGCCAAGGGTCCTGCAGAGAAAGCACTGAATTTCCCAAGTCCTTTATCCAGAACTCAATACCACCAGTTCCCCCAAGGGCTCCCAATCCCACTCCACCGACCACTGTCAACTCTGCCTCCCCTAACACACACACATCCCCAGTGGCAGAAGCAGCTCTGGATGGTGCCAGATTCCTGGCCTGAAGCGGGATCTCTCTCTCTCTGATGCTCCCCACTGAAGGTGGGGAAATCTAGCCAGATTTCACATTCTTATGAGAGGAATCGGTACAATTTGGACAAAGGGAGCTAAAAGGGGCAGCTAAGGCAGTGGAAGCAGACACAAGCAACTGAGGGCCCCAGAGGAAAGCCAGCGGTGGGCCGAGGCATGGGCCGGCCAGACCGGGTATGCGAGTTAAGGCAGACACAGTACAGAGGGGCTCCAAGACAGCTCTCCAAGCCCTAGCGGCAATGTTAGTCGGTCTTCCGCCCCAGTCTCTTAAATACACTAACAGTCCCCGTGTTGTCCATCTGCGCGCTATGGCCCTCGCTTGAGCTGCTCACCCTTGGGCCTGCCAGGGTCCTCTTTATGGTAACCTTGAACTCAGCTGGGGACTTACTCTTTGTGCTGGTGACTTGGCTGTCCTGAGCCTCTGGGGGAAGGGTGGCTTTGCCAAGTCTCTGGATGATGCTGACTTTGGACAACGCTTCTGGCTTTCTCTCAGCAGAGGGGCCCTGGCCGCCCCCTGAGCGCCGAAGGGTGGCCGGGACAGGCTTGGGCTCTGAGCTGGTGGCTTTGGCCTTGATGGTCACTCCCAGGGGAGTGCTGTCCTTGGCAAAGGACTTGCCCATCCTCTTCAGGACCCCAGCATACTGTAGGACGGAGCTGTCATCGTCACTGTCTCCTGCCCGCTCCTCGTCTGTCTCCAGGGCATCACCCAATCGGCTGAAGACGCCCGTGGGCTACGTTGGAAGGAAAGCGGTCGTCAGTCAGGGCAGAGAATGAGCTGGGATGTGAAGGGGAGGAGAAACGAGAGCTTTCCACACAGTCCCCACAGCTCACCTTATTCCCAGCTGTCGTGTCAGCCTTGGTCTCAGCTCCAAGCCGGTCAAAGACAGATGTCCTCTGGACACCTGGGAGGGAAGGCAGGCCGTCAGACAGCTTGCGCTGAGCGCCCCTGATGGGCACAGCCCTACGCTGGGTACTGTGGGACATGCCGATGCAGGAGAAGACACAGTCCCTGCCCTGAGAAACACCTGAGGGAGGAGCCGTGGCAATCCTCAGGAGGCTCAAAGTGTAGGAATGGGGTACGGGCATGTGAAACAGAGGGAAGAGACGGCTGAACTACGCTGTAGGGATGTGTCGGCAAGAAGCCAGACCACAGTGCCGCACCTAAAGACGGGGATGGGGTTGACCAGGAGGCTCCCAGGTCTAGAACGAAGAGGACCGTGCTGGGGGCCAGGCCTCCTACCTGCCCCCCCCAAGCCGGGCTCCCTCAGAGACGCAGGGGGAGCCCCTGCCCTCACCTTTGGCCGCCTGCTGCTGCTCCAGGATCTTCCGCGATCGAGGCGTGGTCCCCTTGGGCATGGTGATGATATATTTTCCTTCCATCTCAGCGGTTACTCGGCGCCTCCGTTTCACTGGCACGGCAGCATTCTCTTCTTCAAGCTGGCCCAGAGCTAGGAGGGGCCCAACGGGAGATACAGGCAGCTGGGTCAGGGACCCTCAGAAACATTCTGGGATGGGGGAAGGAAGGGCTCCCTCATGCCAAACAGGGGGAACACGATCAGAAGAGCGTCTCCCTTCCCACCTTCCATCTTGGCTCACTCACAGCACTCAAAGGCTTGGAATTTCTTTCTAGGGACCGTCACCAAAGCTTTCTCAGGAAGATGCAGTCAGTGAGAGGGTCCCCAAGGAAGCAGAAGCCCCTCAGAGGCACTCGGGCCACCCCCCTGCCTCCACCCCTATCCTCACAGGTACCCTGCCACTATGTTCCCCATACCAGCAGCTTTGGCGTGCTTAGAGGCCATCTTGTTGGAGACGGTGACTGAGATCTTGGAGGCGCTGGCATCAGGGCGCCTGGCAGGGGTGCTGGGCGGGGAGTCCCGACTCAGGCTGTTAGCAATCATCCGAGAGGCGGCTAGAGACGTGACAAACAGAACGAGACTCATAAGCGGGGCTTGGACCATCGAAGCCCGGGAAGCGGGGTGGGGAACGGCCGCTACTGCATTCTGATCCAGACCTGACCCCCTCAAAGCTCTGAAGAGCTAAGGCCCAGCCACAGAAATCAGAGAAGACACAGCCACAAAGGAAGGGGAAATGAGTGCCGAGGCTCGGCCTTCAGCTCACCTCCACTATTCTTACAGTGAAACAGGGCTGACATTTCTATCACCCTTCCAGATGTGGAGAAGGCTTTCTGTGCATCAGCTTCCATGACTCTCCTAATACTCTGCAGTGTGTAGTGGGAGGACTGTCGTTGCCCTTTTACAGGTGAAGAAACTGAGGCTCCACCAGAGCCTGGCTCTAGAGGCAGAACCGGGCCGCCCCCACCGCGCCACGCCGCTGCCCTCGTGCCTGCTGTGACTGCTCTCTCGGGTGGTGTGCAGGAGGTCACCAACCCCGAGTGCCCAGAAGAGCCGAGCAGGGAGCTGTGGGGGACAAACTCACCGCTGGTAGCGCTGCGCCTGAGCTCTGCCTGCAGGTGGCTGGGGCTGGAAGCCAAGGACTCGGCAGCCGCTTTGCACACATCCTGTAAAAGACAGCAGGGTGAGAACAATGCCAAGACGAGTGTCTCTGGTGCCCCAGACACCTCTGAGTGCGAGGGAGGCCTGGCTATCTCTAAATGTTCAAAGGGATGTTATCACTGACAATCACGGAACTGGGACAGTCGGGCTCCTTCAGGGATGGAGGTTCAAACCCCGGCTGTGGGGGACCTGGAGCAAGTCCCTTGCACTGTGCGGCCCTCAGTTTTCTCAAGCCGGGCAGGTGGCACCTCGATCTGACTCAGCCTCTGCTGCTTCCTAGCTTACGTGAGCACACGTGACTCCATGGAGCCCTCGCTAGTCTGGTCTCCTTGTAAAACGCAGATATTCGCTCTGAGGCACTGATGTCGGGGCTATCGTGAAGCCCAAATGAAGGGCGCCTGTCGGGTGCTTCCCAACGTCAATAATTACATCAGCTCGAATGCCTGTCCCAGACAGTTCTGCTGGGGGAGGGGGGCACAGGCTTTCCTCCTAATGCATTCCACCTCATGTCAGTCACCATGCGATCTAGGGAAAGCACTGAGACTCAGGAGAGCATCATGGGGTCTGCCTGTCTCTCCAGCAGAGAGTCTAAGGAAGCCTCCCAGTATGACGGGAAAAAAAAGGAAATGCCAACTCACTCCTCTGGCTCCTTGACCATGGAAGACCAAAGAGTAGGAAAGAGAGCCAGGCATCCTTCTGCCCTGTGACACACCAGCCTCGTGGCATATCTTACAAGGAGGGGTTCCCGCCCCCCCAGAAGGCGGCCTGAGGCGGGCGCTGCACTGAATGACCAGCCTCAGCCTGGGGCAGGCACACCCACCTGGCGGTACACCACCTTGGCATGTTTGAGGATGGCAATGATGTCGCCCACCACAGTCACGCCGAGCTCATTCATGATCTCCTTATTCAGGTCTAGCAGCATGTTTTTCTGGATCCTGCGGGCAACGCTGGGCAGTGAACCGGGGAGCACAGGCCGGGCACTGACCCTCCCTCCTTCCCCACCGTGGCTCCCACCCTGGAGCCCACTGTGGCCTTACCGGTTATCTACAAACATTACTGCGTAGTTGACAGCAGGCCCCGGGGGGATCCCAGCTTCCTTGAAGAACTGGATCCATTCTGATGTAGCTACAGAGAGACAGGCAGGAAGTCAGAGAACCAGTTATGTATCTTGTCACCCCCCAAACACGGTGCACCCTGGCTCTGGAGCCCCAGCCTCCTTCTTCACAACAAAACCCAATCTGTTGGACGTGGAAGTGCCTCCATCTTAGCTGAACCCCAGCTAAATGCCCACCCCTCATTCCCTTGTCACTGAGAGCACAGTATCTCAGAAGCTATCTCCTCTGATGTGCAACTCCACAAAGATGCCCTTCACTATGTCTCCCCACAAGGTCCCCTTTTATCTGAGAAGCCCTCCTGGGAGTGGAGCCCAGCAACTCCAGACACAAGCCACTTCACTTTAGGGCAGATCTAGTCATTATTAAGTTTTTCCTTATTTCAATCTTAAACTTGCCTCTTTCTAAGTTATACCCACTGCCCCTTATTAGGGGGTGTTCTAGAGCCAAGCAAAACAAGGCTAATCCTTCTTCCCCTGCCACCCTTTTGTGTCCTTAAAGACCCTGTCATGGTCCTTCCTCCTAAGTATTCCTTCTAAGGCACGACTTCCCCAGCTCCTGTAGCCAACCCGCACAGGTCACTGTCTTGGGTTCCTTCACTATCCTGTGGCCCTCAGAAGAGCAACCTGGAGTAAATGGTGCTAGCAAAGCTACTAAGGAATGGCTAAACAACTTATGGTATATGAATGCAATGGAATATTATTTCATCCTAAGAAATGATGAAGGGGAGGGTTTCAGAGAAACCAATGAAGACTTGTATGTACCAATGCAAAGTGAAGTGAGTAGAACCAGGAAAACAATTTATGCATAACAATAACCCTGTACAGAAATCAACTAGGAGAGACTTAAGAACTCTAATCAGTACAACTTTCAGCTATAATTCCCGAGGACTAATGAGGAAGCATGCAACTATCTCTGCATATCTGTTACAAGAGTTTTGGATTTGTTTTGTTTTTTCCAGTTTTGATGTGGTGGGAGGGAAGAAGGGGGTGGAGTAAGGAATAGGATAGCAAGAAAAAGAGACATAAGAAAAAAATCACAGAAGAATTTTTTTGAAAGAGAGAACAGAAAGAAGGCCAGAAAGAATCACAGACAAGCAGGACAGCTTTGAAAGTTACATGTTGAATTTATTACAAAAAGAAAAGCAAGCTGTACATAATCGATTCACAGTTTAATGTACAATCCTCTTTTTCTGTTCTATGAGAAGTATACATATATACATATATACACATATATATGTGTGTATAAATGCTCACTTTATTTGATTAAGTTCAGGATAAAAATAATAAGATTCTGAAGAGCACCTAGGAGACTATAATAATTGGGCACACCTAGATGCATAACACATAACAGTTAACAGCATTTAGTTAGCAAGAATTAGTTGCATGGAGGCAGCTGGTGGCACAGTGGATAGATCATTGGACCTCAAGTCAAGAAGACCTGAGTTCAAATCCAGCTTGGGCTAATCACTGAATCTTTGCCTGTTTCAGTTTCCTCAACTATAAAATATGGATAATAATAGTACCTACCTCTCAAGGTTGTTGGGAGATCAAATGTGATGATATTTATAAAATTTCTTTTTAATAAGTACTTAGTACGCTGCCTGGCACATAGCAGATGCTCTATAAATGTTTATTCCCTTCCCCATCCCCAATCATAAGGTGCTTTGCCCATGTTAACTAATTTGGTACAGATGTTAACACATCCCATTAGACTGCCAAATGCTCCAGGTTAGGGAGTATTCCATAAAGCCAAGGAGGTCTGGCTACTGTGTTTAGAAGGAAGAGGGAGAATGAAGATCCACTAGTAGGAGGAATCTCAAGAGGAAAGAGGAGTCTAGATCTCAGGGAAACTCCTTTCAGCCAATGTTTCCTTCTGTGCTTCTGGCCACGAACCTCAGAATAAGAGCTTAACCTCCAAGGCAGAAGCAGCAGGAAGCAGGCCGAGGATGCCAGTGCATCCCCGTTTGTGCGACGACCTGGGCAAACAGACTTGTCCTCACACAACTGCTCCCCAACAATACCGAGGTCTGCACACACACATTGCCAAGTCTGAATGCTCTGTAGGCCCATCCCAGAGCTACACACACAGACGCTCCTAAGTGTCTCCCTCTCCAGTGGGCTCTCCACACAACTGCCAGTGATTTTCCGAAAGCCCAGGTCAGACCATGGCACTCCCAACCAACAAACTCCGGGGGTCCCTGTTGCCTCTGGGACCAAATAGAACTTCTTCTGTTCCACTTTTTCAATCCTTTTACAGACTGGCCCCCAAGCGACCTTTCTAGCTTAATCCACATCCCTTCCCCACCCTCCACCCCGTGGGTCTCCCAGGCCTGGAATCTGCTCCCTCTTACCTCCTCCTCCTCACAAGAGCCCTCACTTCCTCCAAACTTTGGCTCAAGCACCACCTCCTACAGGAAGCCTTCGGTAATCCTCCAATTATTAATGCCCTCCCCCTTTCCCAAGTGCCCTGTGTTTACTCCATATTTATTCTAGGAATACTTGAGGGCCAGAAGGACTTCATTTTGTCCTTGTAACCTTACTGCCTACCACAAGGCCTAGCACATAGTCCGTGCTTCATTCATGTTTATTGTTGCGCGCGCATACACACACACACACACACACCCTTCCCAGCTTCTGCTGAAAGCCCTTCTCTACGATGTCACCTTGTCACCTTCCATCACCTCTGTATCAATTCTACATATACATCATTATTTACAGGTTCTCTTCTCCCATCTGAATGTGAGCCCCTTGAGGGCAGGGACACTGGTTTTGGTGCCTGGTACACAGTAGGCACTTAATAAGTGCTTGTTGAAGGAAGAGCAGCTCAGAACTGGAATGGCACTTAGAAGGGAACCACATGAATGGACAGTTCAGCAGGAAGTGCCCCGATCAGTAGCTCCACTTGAAGGCCAGAGACCCCAGGAGCCCAGGCCAGCTTTGGAGGGCTCTGATTCTCACGCCAACCCCCAGCATTCTGCACCTCCAGAAGCTCCACAACATGAAGTCTGGAGTGAAACGGCAGGGAAGGAGGCTCCAGTCCCTTCTAATATTCTCAACAGAACTTGCTAGGCCTAAGGAACTGGCCAGAATCCATGGGGAGAACTCTCAGTAGAAGAGCCAAGCTGAGAGACAAGCAATGCCCAATGCTGGAACTTTCCCAGGCTACCCGGGAAGATCCATGGAAAATGCCTGAGCCTGGTACACCTTGGTCCTCTGAATCTCAGAGGGAGCAGAATGGAACGTTGTCACTGAAGCTGCAGCTGGGATAAAGGCAGGAGAGGGGGAAAGGGGCCCTTTATAGGAGCCCTAAACACAATACTAATGGCTTCTGGGCTAGAGGCCCCAGCCTGCATTCCACACACCAGCAGCTGTCACCGTCACTACAACAGAAAGGGTTTGCCTGCCATGACAGCTAACCCAACCCCCACCACCCTCATCAAGTGGAAAGGGTCCGGGGAGGCCCTCATAGACTCACCCATTGTCACAGACACCATCTTCTCCCTAAGCACGACCAAGCCAGCGCTCCCAAAAGCAGCCTAGGAGGGGGGGAAATGAGAGGCTCGTGAGTAGGCTGGCATTCCTGGGCTAAGGTTCAGAGCACAGGAATAGCTGGTGAGCAGCTGTCAGGAAGTCACCCAGAGGCCGTTGCTGCCACCAAAATAATCCCCCTCCCCCAGCCCCAAGACCCAAGGAGATGTTCAGAGAGGCCCCTTCCGAGGGCTCATTCCTCACATACTCTTAGGCACTTTCTGGAAGAAGAGAATTCAGGATGACCTGAAATTGTCACAGAGGGGTGGATAATACTTCCATCACAGAGTCTTAATGACTATCCCCCAATCCCCTTCTAACTTCCTACCCCTCCCCTTGCCTTTTCTTCTGTTTCTCTTATACCTAGTTCTCCAGTTCTTCTCTATCCCATTTACAATCATCCCCATCATCCTTCCTCTCTAACCTCCACTCCTCTTTCAACAAATTTAACAAACATTTATTAAGCCTCTACTATGAACCAGACCCTTGCTAGCTAAGTACTGGGGAAAATACAAATATTAAATCAAAGTCTCCTTCCTCAAAAAGCTTCTGAATACGACAGGTGAAATAAGGCAGTTAGGGGGCACTGAACTTGGCCTCAGGAAAACCTGAATTCAAATGCTACCTCAGACACTTATTAGCTGTGTGCTCCTGGGCAAGTCACTTAATTTCTGCTGCCTCGGTTTCCTCAACTGTAAAAGGGGGATAATAATAGCACCAGGGCTGTTGTGAGGGTCAAATGAGTTAACACATGTTTGCAAACGTTAAAAAGCTCTATGAATACTAGCTACCAGACACAAACATGGGTAACAGATCTGAACACATTTTCTGACTCGTCTCACCTGACTACCTCCCTCCCTGCTCTCACTCCTTCCCCCCTTTCTTCAAGCTCCCCACGAGCTCGCCTGCCCTCTGCTCTGATCTTCCTGTATGGGACACTCCTGCCCCTCGATCCTTCCTCTTCCTCGGCTCCCCACTTCTTCCCCAGCCGGAGGTGGGGGGTCCCCGAGCTGGGATTGAAGAATGCCAAGGTCAGAGGGAGCTCTGAAGCGGGGCTCCTCAACCTGTCTTTCCGGGGTACTCGGAGACCCGCATTTCACCAACTCGGCCCCTCCCGCGCGTCCTCTCCTTTCACCCCGAGGGGGAGGTCCCCCGCTCCAGGCGCCCGAGCTTGCCTGGGGTCCCCCAGGGGGAAGGTCCGGGCCTGGCTTTGGTTTCCTCCGCAATCCTGTGTATCTGGTGTTCTGCGCTTAAAAGCATGACTGCGAGGTGGGGAGGGGACGCCCTGCCTCTGCCCCCTGGGATGGGGGGGAGCGAAGGGGAGGGGGGAGGGGCGGGGTGTCAGTTGAGAGCCTGCCCGCCTCCCGCTAGACTGGAAGCTCCTCGGGGGGGGCGGCCCTTTCGGTCCTAATCTCGGGGGCCCCGGAGCATCCGGACACTCAGAAACATTCCCGGAGCTGGGGACCTCCGCCCCCTGCCACCGCAGAGGAGGGAAACTGAGGCCCAGAGGGGCCGGGACACGATTGCGGGAGTCATACAGCGACTTCCGGCGCCCGCCCACCCGCTTCCCCTACCTCGCCGAGCCGGGACCCACTCCCCCCTCACCTGTCACGGGTCTCAGGCTCCCGCCCTCTGCCCGGAGCCAACGGACCCCCACTACCCGCCTCAGTCCCAGCTAGACCGGAAACATCGCTCGGCGCGCGCCGGAAACCCTCCCTGGGAGGCGGGAGTGGAGCCGCTCTAGCCGCTGCTGCGACCATAGAGCCTGCCGGCTCCCTCCGCCCCCACCCTCCCTCAGGACACGTGACCCAAAGCCTAGGCGCCGGCTGAGCGCCAGGCTCCACTCGAGGCTCCACCCCAGGCTCCACCCCAGGCTCCACCCCAGGCTCCACCCCAGGCTCCACCCCAGGCTCCACCCCAGGCTCCACCCCACCCTCACCTTCCACCCCTAGGCCGGAGGCGCCCGGATAATATGCACAGCGCCCCGCCCAGCGCTGCACTGCCCCGACAACCCCCAGGCAGTTGAGGCCGCGCGCACGCGCCCGGCCGAGCTTTTCGGTAGCAGTTTAAGCGAGAGGACTAGCGCGCATGTGTGGCCTTCGCATCCCGAGCTGATCCCTCCGCCTCCCCGTAGGCCGGGCTGGGGCGTGCTCTCCTCCCAGGGGCGGCACCGGGAGCTCGGCCGCCAGAATCCCCGTCACCGGCTCCTGCTGTGGGACCCTCCCCCGGCCCCCGGTGCCCGGCCCCGGGTAAGTCAGAGGCACGCGGAGTGACGGAGCTGAAAAGGGCCTTTAGCGCCCGTCCGCGGCATAGACGCCGAACTCGCGGACGGCCGGGGGCTTTCCTCGTCCGGGGACCCCCCCGGGTGCAGCCCAGGGGGCGCGGGGCCCTCGGCGGACTCCGCGGGCGTCCGTGCAGCTCCCCCCGCCCCCCACAACCCACTGCGAGCCAGTGCACATCTATTAAGCACCTACTGTGTGCCAGGCACTGGCCGAAGCGCCGGGGTACAAAAAGAGGCCAGGGCCTTCCCGTACATCTTGTATCCAGCTTGCTTTGTATATATTGTTCGCAGGTCGTCTGCCCGTGTAGATTGTAAGCTCATCGAGGGCAGAGACTGTCTTTCGCCTCTTTTTGTATACCTAGCACTTAACCCAGTGCCTGACATGTAGTGGGTGCTTAATAAACGTCGATTGATTGGCTGTTGATAGCTCAGAGTCTAATGGTGGAGACAACACGCAAACAAGCCATACACAGCATAAATTGGAGATTATTAGGTGGGGGTGGGGGGTGGGGAGAGATAAGCATTTTTGTATAGCAGCCACTGCGCTGAGAGCTGGACATTCAAAAGGAGGCAAAAAGACAGTCCTTTCTCTCAAAAAATTTACGGTCTAATGTAGGGGGAGGGGGAGAGGAGAAACAACGCGTAAACAGGCTGTGCACGGGATCAATTGGAGATAGTCAGCCCCGGGAAGGCTTCCTATAAAGGAAGTTTTAGCTGGGACGGGAAGGAAGCCAAGCGGCAGGGATGAGGTCAGCCCAGGTACTGCCTCACCCTGCTAGCATAGTGTTTTCTGTCCCTCATCCAGCATTCCTTGAGTGCTTCAGCTGCATCTCCCCTCCACCCCCATCACACAGGACCTTGCCCTGTATTTGCCTTGGTAGAACTCCTGTTCCTTCCCTGTGAAATATAAGTTCCTTGAGGTTTGGTTTTTTTCTCCTCATTTTGGATCCTCAGTTCTTAGCAAGTGTCCTGGACATGTAGCAGGGGTCTCATTGCTTTATAAATGTTCATTCGAGGAATAAATGAGCTGTTGGAGCAACAGCATTCAGACCCAGGTCTTCTGACTCAGTCCTTTAGGCTTTTCACTACCATATTGCCTCTGGATTTAGAGTTGAGAGGGATCTCAGAGCTCATTAGTCTCTTAAAGTGAGGAAAGCATCTTGTCCAAAGTCCTCAAGGTAGCACATTCAGGAGCTCTGAGATGGGAATCCTGGCCCTATGAGTCCAAATTCAGCATCTTTTCCATTCTTTTACATTGTCTACCTCTTCCCTCTACCCCCACATTTTTGGTCCTCTCTCTCTCTAAAAAGAGCTCGACTGAGCCAGCATTAAGGCCTGGCCTGGCACTGGTGTTGAATTTGGTATCAGAGAACTTGGATTCTCTGACACTGTAGCTCCTGGTCCCTAATCAATCATAAGAGGGGATGGGGCTGTGACATTTCATGGAATAGAGGACAGTGGACTGGCCATGTCCTGCTGGGTGACCACTGCCAGGTCATTGTGTCCCTCACTGTCACCTGCCTCCTCGGTGGGAATTGTGAAGAGAGGGTACTTTGTCTAGTCAAATCACCAAGCATTTATTAAGCCACTACTGTATGCTCAGTGCTGGGAACACAAATACCAAAAAAAGACCGACAGCCCTGCCCTCAGGGAGTTCACTGTCCAATGGGAGAAAACAGACTACACCTAAAAGGGAGCTGAAATGGGGAGGAGGTGCCCAGTCCGGGGCCATGATAGAGGTGGCCAGAGGGGGCTTGCTAGAAAACAGGAGGAAAGAGGTCACATAGGGTCGCAGTTAATAATAAATCAAGGGCAGGATTTGAACCCTGCTATTCCTGATTGCCAAGTTCCATAATCTATCCACTGCACTACATTGTTCAGTCTTTCAGCCCTGGCTGTGTTGTCCATGGGGTTTTCTTGGCAAAGGTGCTGGAGTGGTTTGCCATTTCTTTCTCCAGTCATGCTATTTATTAACACTAACATTTATATAATACCTACTGTGGGGCAGCCAGCTGGCTCAGTAGATGGAGCACTGGCCCTGGAGTCAGGAGGACCTGAGTTCAAATGTGGCCTCAGACACTTTCAATTGTGTGACCCTGGGCAAGTTGCTTAACTCCAATTGCCCTTCCCAAAAAAACCAAACAGACATCTGCTATGTTTCAGTCACTGTGCTAAACACTTTGCAAATATTATTTCATTTGATCCCCACAACAATCCTGGAAATTAGAATCTATTATTATGCCCATGTTTCAGTTGAGAAAACTGAGATAAACAGAGGTTAAGTGACTTGCCCAAAGTCACACAGCTAGTAAGTGTCTGAGGCCAGATTTGAACTCAGGTCTTCCTGACTCCAGGCCCAGTGCTCTATCCACTGAACCACCCCACTGCTTCTTATTAGTTGTGTGGCTTTGGGCATGTCACTTAACCTTTCAGTACCTCAGCTTCCTCTGTAAAATAAGGTAAGGTCTCAAGCAGCTCTGGACTCCGTGAAGCCTGGAGACTTGCCAAGGTCACACGTAGCTGGAAACACAGTAGAAGAATAGCAATGATAATGTTCTCATTTTTCAACAGTAACACTTTGTGTATGTAAAGATGTTGCTGCATTCTGATCGGCTACATTGTAGAAATGACTCCTGATCTGTCCCAGTCACCTCGTTATAACATAGAAATAACCTGCAAAGGCTGTGCCGGGGGATCCTGACCCTGGACAGACTCATGAGGAAGTTAACCATGGAGAGATGAGTTTTTTCAGCCACATCAGCTCATGAATGATTGTCCTTTAAGGCTTGGGGGGCCGGGAGGGACGTTGGGGGGGTGCCCTCTGCTGCTAGCAGGGCTGGGAGTGTCCAGCTCCCAGCTTAGAATAGGACCCAGCTCTGTTTACATAGCTGATAAAATCACAGATTTTTGGAGAGGTATTAAGAATTGCTTACTTTTATCAATGCACAGTACAACACAGCTGGGGGCGCCATAGTGCATAGAGCACCAGGCCTGGACTCAGGACAATTTATTTTCCTGAGTTCAAATCTGGCCTCAGATACTTGCTAGCTGTGTGACCCAGGGCAAGTCACTTCACCCTGTTTGCCTCAGTTTCTGCATCTGTAAAATGAGCTGGAGAAGGAAATGGCATACCACTCTGGTGTCTCTGCCAAGAAAACCCCAAATGGGGTCACGAAGAGTTAGACACGCCTGAAACAACTAAACAACATTTATCAAAAGTTCTTTCAGTTAAGTTTCATTCAGCAAATGTAAGTACCTACTCTGTGCTTGGCACTGGACTAACTGCTGGAGATACAAATAATGAACAAATGAATGAATAAAGCACTTAGTAAACTCTTGATATGTGCTTAGAGCTGGAGATTCAACTAGAAAAGCAAGACAGCCCCTGCCCCCAAGTAGCTTGCAGTCTAATGCAGTGGAAACCATTTTTATCATTCATTCATTTTCAGTCTTGTTTGACTGTTTGACCCCATTTGGGGTTTTTTTGGCAAAGATACAGGAGTGGTTTGCCATTGCCTTCTCCAGCTCATTTTACAGATGAGGAAACGGAGGCAAACAGGGTTAATAGCACCACACAGCTACCCTGAAGGAATCTAGACATTCCAGAAGGCAGAGTGAGAAGAGAGCTTTGCAGTCCTGGGGTATGGGAGGAGGGGGGGAGCGAACAGGACAGTCTGAATAGAAGGAGGAGATACAGAAGGAGTCAAGTGAAGTCAGTCTGGTAAGTGAGATGGCAGCTGGACGGCATAGGGCCTGAAAAACCAGAGTAGTCGTGTTTTTTTTTTTTTTAGGTAGGTGTTCTTTTTTTTAAACAATTTATTTATTTTAGTTTTCAACATTCACTTCCATAAGATTTCGAGTTTTAAATTTTCTCTCTCCCCTCCCCAAGATGGTGGGCAATCTGATATAGGCTCTACTTACACATTCATATTAAGCATATTTTCACATTAGTCATGATGTGAAGAAGAATTAGAGCTAATGGGAGGAACCACGAGAAAGAAGAAACAAAACAAAACAATAAAAGAAAAGGAGAGCAAATAGTCTGCTTCCATCTGCATTCAGACTCCATGGTTCTTCCTCTGGATGTGGATAGCATTTTCCGTCATGAGTCTTTTGGAGATGTCTTAGATCCTTGCATTGCTGAGAAGGGTTAAGTTTATCAATATTAGTCATTGCACAACGTTGCTGTTACTGTGTACAACGTTCTCCTGGTTCTGCTCATTTCACTCAGCATCAGACCATACAAGTCTTTCCAGGTTTTTCTGAAGTCTGCCTGCTCATCATTTCTTATGGAACAAGTATTTTATTACATTCATATACCACAACTTGCTCAGCCATTCCCCAATTGATGGGCATCCCCTCAATCTCCCATTCTTTGCCACCACAAAAAGAGCTGCTATAAATATTTTTTGTGCATGT